GTTCACTCTGGACAAACGTCCAGCCGAGCTGCTCTGAGCATCCCGTGCAGGGGAAGGGCCCCGGGAGGGAGGTCACGCTTTGGAGATCTCCCAAGGTCTGGCTGATCTCGGCAGCCAACCTCAAAGCCACCCTCAAAAGCCCCGTCCGGGATCGAAGGGCAACGTGCGCGGCCCGGGCTGCCCCCCCGAGGGAGCGCCCGGCGGCGAAGCGGGGCTGGGGAGAGCGGGGCTGGGGGGGTAGAGCTGGGTCAGAACCCGCAGCGTGTCCTGCCCCTGCTGCGGCGGGGAGAAAGCAGGGCCGAGAGGTGGCACTGAGGTGGGTCGGGCAGCACGGAGACTGGAGCGGGTCTGAGCCCCGCAGGGACCGGGCACCGGGGCTGGGGAACCGTGACCTGGCGGGAGGTGGAAGGAGATACCAGATGCGGAGACCTAACGAGAGCAGCGCGACAGGGAAAGGCCAAGCTGTGTGATGTGCTCTGGGTGACCCTGCTCGGGCAGGGGGGTTGGGCTGGATGATCTTTCGAGGTCCCTTCCAGCCCCTGGGATTCTGTGGTTCTGTGAATCCTGCTTCTTCCCTGGGAAGGGATGATGTGCTCCAAGCCAAGCAGAGCTCTGGGTACCACCCCAAAAGCTACACATGCAAACAAGTCCCGAGGTGCTCCTCAACATCAGAAGTGGCTCAGAAAGTTTTCTGCTAGGGATAGTTTCTGGGTTTCAGTGCAATTATTCTACTGCACGTGCCTGTTTCCATGCGTTTGGGGAACACTTTCAGACACATACAACGTTTTTTCCCAGCTTTCTGAATCCCACAGAAGTCCATCCCGGGCAGTTGGTGTTCCCACCCCAGCACAGCACCCGGCAGGATGAAGCAGCTCCTCAGGCTCTTTCATGTGAACGATGCTTGGAGCTGATTTATATGTGGCAGCACAACACTGACCTTGGGCATCATAATAGAAAAGCTGATGTGGGATTCAGCTGGTAAAGAATTAAAGGCTGGGAATATAATTAATGCAATCAGCCTAGTTGCTGAAAAATAGCTCTTGTCAAACTCTGATGTCAGGCAGGGGGGTTGGGCTGGATGATCTTTCGAGGTCCCTTCCAGCCCCTGGGATTCTGTGGTTCTGTGAATCCTGCTTCTTCCCTGGGAAGGGATGATGTGCTCCAAGCCAAGCAGAGCTCTGGGTACCACCCCAAAAGCTACACATGCAAACAAGTCCCGAGGTGCTCCTCAACATCAGAAGTGGCTCAGAAAGTTTTCTGCTAGGGATAGTTTCTGGGTTTCAGTGCAATTATTCTACTGCACGTGCCTGTTTCCATGCGTTTGGGGAACACTTTCAGACACATACAACGTTTTTTCCCAGCTTTCTGAATCCCACAGAAGTCCATCCCGGGCAGTTGGTGTTCCCACCCCAGCACAGCACCCGGCAGGATGAAGCAGCTCCTCAGGCTCTTTCATGTGAACGATGCTTGGAGCTGATTTATATGTGGCAGCACAACACTGACCTTGGGCATCATAATAGAAAAGCTGATGTGGGATTCAGCTGGTAAAGAATTAAAGGCTGGGAATATAATTAATGCAATCAGCCTAGTTGCTGAAAAATAGCTCTTGTCAAACTCTGATGTCATCCTTTGAAGAGATTACAAGTTCGGCTGATAAAGGTTATGGCATAGAAATAATAGACCTGGGCTCTCTTTAAGCATGTGACTTAATCCATAGAGTATTCTGATTTAAAAAAAATGAGCACAATACAACATCAAGAGGGACACCTTCAAGGGACCGGGAGCTGCCAGCCCCGCAGCCCTCAATGGGAATCCCGGCAGAATGGGAGCGCGCTCAGTGGGTGTCCGGGGCTCGGATGGGAAGCCCGGTGCTATTCAGCATTCCCATCAATGGTCTAGAAATAGATTAAAAAGCCCTGCTGAGAAAAACGCCAGGCCCAGGGAAATGAGAGGGGCAGGAGACACAGACGGGGTCAAGACAGCTGTAAAAAAAAAACCCACCACAGCATAAGCTGAATCCCCGGGCAAATAAAATGTGGTTGAATGTGAGCAGCTGTGAAAAGATCCCTCTGCTGAGCACAGGGCCCTTCTGCTGGAAATCCACACTCTGCCAAGGGTGGGTTTGGGGGCAGGAGGGGCAGGGTGGGAGCAGCAGGCTCCCCACAGGGATGTCCTGGCTGGGACAGGGCTGGGTGCTACAGCAGGTAGGGTTCCAGGATCTGCATTTCAGAAAGGATGCTGAAAACTTAGAAGGTGGAAAAGAGTTAAAACTGACCCCTGCTTTGCAGGGGGATGCCTGAGAACTGCAGCCTCTGTTGCTAGTTCAAAGGAGCCCCAGAGATGCCTCGATTATAGCGCTTAAGCAACTTCATGGCTGAGAGATGATCAGGTATTAAAGAGCTTTTCATCTCCCAGAGAAAAGCCCAGCAAGATCTCATGGCCCGCACTGAGTTT